GGCTGCATTATTCACAACTAGTTTTAATGTATGAGCACTGCAGGGAATATAAAAGGCACAGGAGTTTTAATCCAGGATCCTTTTCTGAACACCTTGGTGTTTGTTCTTGATTTTGGATCCATTATCGTATCCTTGTCTTCTCATATCACCAAATGGGATCTTATGTTTTTCAAGTTCAGACAAAATTTCCTCAGTTAAACTTTCTCCAGTTGAACTTTGGATTTGGATAAAACCTAGAAATCTTTCTTCTATACAGATCTCTGGTTCAGCAGTTGGAGACTCGCCTCGATGGACACAAATTGAACAATTATAGTCATTTGTTCAATTAAAGTAATGTCTGGTGTGCAATCAAGTATTATAGAATAATACTTTTCATTTTTCAATAACTGTGTAATATTTTGTGATTTCGTTCGCTCTAAGGCTGATGAGTTCATTTTGAATGTCCTTCCCTAAATAATGTTGGAAAATGTCCTTATTTTTTTTCAACATCTGCATAATGGTGTTGAATGTGGCCAGCATTTCCACAAGTTGCAGTAAATTCCCATTATTTTCACTGTATAATGTATCTCTGCTACCTTGGAAAGCCAAGCACTGGCGACCAAGATATTTTACTATGCCTATCTTGCCAATGTTGTGTTTCAGTTGCCAACAGTCTCTGGGAAGCTGCATCTATCGTTTTTCCACAACCAAATCTTCTTGAGAGTTCATTCCAGTCTCTTACAGCGACAAAATGAGAGTTTGATTTTTCATGAATGGAAAGATTTTGAGATAGTTTTTTCCAGTCATTAAAACCTGCACATGTCAAACTTGTACTGAGTTTAGTTGCAAATAGCTTATAACAAAAACAAAATACTTTGTTCAATTTGACAGAATAAACCAGCCAGTTTCTAAAGCTTTCTTCTCCCTTTGGCAGCCATTGCTTGTAATTTGCTTTAGTGAAATGTCTATTCCCTGTATCTTTGGGCAAAATGAAATTAGTTTTTTTGCTTTGCATGACCTTTCCTGAAAATAGCATCCCTTAGTGAGGTGGTGAGAACAGCTGGCCAATTAGCTGGATCAAACAAATCCAGTATTGCCAAAGAAGTAGATTGTTTCTTCTGCTTTAGCTCCTCTCTTTCTTCCTCTTCGTCATTTGATCCTTCTGTATTAATAGTCTTCTCAAGGTAGAAAGAGTGTGATGGTATTGAAGATTGCTCATCATCTTGTTGTTCTGGTATTTTTCCAGTATTTGCATTATCTACATCCAACCAGGGAGCTTGTCCATGCTCTAGTAATTTCCCGCATGGATTATTGTAACCCTCTCCTAATTGGTCTTCCCAAAAGCCGTATCGCCCCACTACAGTCTGTCGCCGCCAGACTGATTTTCCTCGCTAGTGGGTCCTCTCACACCTCACCCCTCTGTCAGTCCTTACATTGACTTCCTGTATCCTATAGGAGTAAATTCAAAGTGCTAACCCATACATAGAAAGCACTGAACAATTCTAGCCCCTCATATCTCTTCACAGATCCATAGGTATGCCCCTCCTCGTTCCCTCCGTTCTGCCTGTGAACTTCTCCTGTCCACTGCTCGCACCCGTACGGCCAACTCGCGCTTGCAGGACTTCTCGTGGGCGTCTCCCTTCCTATGGAATAGCCTGCCTACCCCCATCAGACTCTCCCCTAGTCTTCAATCCTTTAGGAAGTGCTTTAAACCCATCTCTTTAGGAAAGCTCATGGCCTCCCTTATATACCTGTATCTTGCTCTTCCATATAGGGCAGCACTTTACTCTCTCCTCCAGCCCTGCTTCACTCCCACCTTATTTGATTGATATTTCCTGTCCTAATGTGTTTTACACCCCACCTCCTATAGACTGTAAGCTCGTTTGAGCAGGGTCCTCTTCAACCTATTGTTCCTGTAAGTTTTCTTGTAATTGTCCTATTTATAGTTACATTCCCCCTCTCATAATATTGTAAAGCGCTGCAGAATCTGTTGGTGCTATATAAATGGCAATAATAATAATAATAATAACAACCTCTTGGACTGTGATGGGCTGTTTGTATGATGATGTTGAAGATTCATCAATATCTATTTGCACTGGTTCACTTGTAATGTTGGAAACTGGTTCTGATGCAGCAGTATCTTGCTTTCTCCTTTTGTGAGAAGTCAAGTACTCCTTTAAAGCTTCAGACATCCGCTTCCCAGCTTTCTCTTTTTCTGCTCGTCTTTGTCTGAACACTGCTCCAGATGATTTCTTTTCCTTAAATAGTTTCAGCATTTTGAATATACTTTTCCAGCTATGTAAAGAATAAGAATAATGTTTAAGTTCACACACAATTAGGAATTATAACATTATAAGGAAAAGTGAAATTTCATCCATGTCTCCATCCACAGCTCAACCTGCCTTCCTCACTCTGGTAATGTTCCTTGATGCAGATTATTTCCTTCTCTGGAGCAGCCAGAACAGGCCAGCCTGGTCCAAACAGTTCCTTCCTTTCGTTGTGTTCCTTTTCAGAGAATCTGCTTTGCTTCTCTACCAACTCAATAATCCCTCAAAGTTCAAACCTGCTTGTTGCAGGGCTTGACAAATTTGTTTGGAATCTAGGATCCAGCTAAAAAAGTTAGGAGCAAGATTTTCCATTGTCAAAAAAACTATTTTTAAAAGGGAAACTATAGTCACCGGAACCGCTGGTGTCTAAAGCCTGCCCATGCACAGGCCTTTAAATGTAAACACTGCATTTTCATAGAAAAGGCAGTGTTTACATTGCTGCCTAATAACACCTCTAGTGACAGTCACTCAGATGGCCAGTAGAGGTGATTCCTTGTCCAGTGCTGCACAGTGTGCATCTTTACGAGTAGATTGTTGCAGTGCGACGTTTTGCAGCGCATTTCCAATTGACTGCCAATGCTTTCTTATGAGAAAGCATTGGCTTGGCTGAAATCATCAAGATTAACTCAGCCATGGAGGCAGAGCCAACCATGGTGAGACCAGCACGGTGTTGGAAAAAAGATGAGTAAAAATACCTGTTCCATGAGTTTGGAGGGGGGTAGGGGGACGGTAACCTAAACACATATATACACATTTTAACATACACTCACAAATTATTACTATTTCTTTATTTAAATTTAAGTACACCCAGCCTCCCTACCTTTGGGAGAGCTGGAGTGGATTATTTCACTAGGATGCAGTGTGGCTTCTCACTGTTCTCCCTGCCCTTCTTGCTCTGCTCCATAGCACTGTTCGCTGTTTAGTGATGCTGGGGCCAGAGTGATATTCCAGATGCAGGCATCACTAACCAGCATGGGAGGAAACAGAGCAGGAACTACAGGAAGATTACTACTCCATGCTCCCTCGGCCAGCCGCCTTCCGCTGAATGGGCTAACAAACAACCTGGCTCCAGGATAAAATTCCTAGTCTAGTCCTAGAATTTGTCGAGCCCTGCCCTAAGTGACGTACTATTTCCCAATATGTTTTGTGTTGTGATTACAAGGCAAAAATCATTAAATTTACAAAAATAATTTAAAAGTTAAACTAAATACAGACATAAACATACTATAAAACCTCCAGTTATTTAAATGTACATAGGGATTTGGAATTGTGCGCAAGTAGCTTTTTTTTTTTATAGTAAATTACACAGACATTTACTGCAATTTTCACCGTGGAACTAATACCTTATCTGGGTATAAAGTACATAAACATTAAACAACCTATCCACCTCAATCTATCACCGATTGAGAAAGCCCTATGACAAGGTGAAAAGCGTATCGGAGGAGGAACAAGGAACAAGGACAACTTTTTTTGTATTCTTGGCAGCTAGCTATTTATTTTTGTTACTTTGTTTTTAATTGTTATGTTTATTAAATAATATAGTCCTATAAATCACCTAGTACACTTCTGCCTATACAATCTGAGCCGGACCTGGAAGGCTCATTCCCATCTTAATCCCTACGTCCCAACAAAGGGCAGGTGTATCCTATAGTACACCTTACACGCTCCACTTCGCTGGTTGGTGTATTGTACACCTACCTGTTTTTGATTGTTTGCTCTCCTGTGTGGGGTGGAATAGGGGAAAGTAGTAGCATGTGAACTTGTTATATTTGTATAACTGTACTTAAATGCCTATATATTCACAGAGAACTTTGTGTTTTATATGCAATTAAAACAATAAAAATTAGGACTAAAATAAATTAAAATACATTTTTACTTCTAATAATTTATACACAACTAGCGTAAATAAATACAAATCAAAATGTATTTACTTATTATTCTTGATAGTTAAAATGACTCATATGTCCATGATGTGAGGAAGGTGTGATCTGAGGAAGGTGTGATCTGAGGAAGCTGATTCTGTGGCGAAACGCGTCATCATGCACGTCCAGTGGTTACGTCATTAGGCTCCGCCTCCAGGAAGTGTCTGCGGTATTGTGCTAGCCGGCAGCTAAACCATGTGCAGTACATTCCGGAGAAAGACTGAGTGAGCTAAGTGACACCACTTGGGTGATTTTTAAATTGTGAAGATTTGCTGAAAATAAAAGAGTTTTCTTTCAACCTGCTGCCGTCTTGTGACCCTTGGCTTTGATTATATACGAAGCGGATAAAGTTAGAGCAGACTTATCTGCTCTCCACTTGTGAGTGCAATTATATATATTGTCTCCATATTATAATTTGTAATACTATATTACACTATGTATCTTTTTTTGCTTTTTATACATATGTATATATAATCTGGAGCAACTTGATCCATGGTATACACAGCTGGGTATTGTAAGTGCTCTGTTCATTTTTTATTTTATTTCTTTCACTATAGCACTGGTAAATTAGTGGCATTTGCACTTTTGCACTTTTTTGCACTTACATCCGTGTATGTAATATCAACACACTTATAAAACAGAGGCTGTGGATTGATATAAGCACTAGAGTGTTTTTAAAGGAATATTGCACATTTTTTGTCTTAAAGACACAGCGCACCCTTTTTTCTGTACTATTGTATTTTTAGTGTTTTATGAGCTATTGCACTTTATA